GTTGTTGTTGTTGTTGTTGTTGTTATTGATTGTTTCATATTGTTTTTCTATCATCATCAACTTCAGTTATTTCTGATCATTATATATAACTGCAATATTTCATTGAATTGTATTATTCCATAAATGCAATAAATTTATTATTACAGGGTATGGGCAAGTGGGAGTTATGGACAGAAGAAATCAAAGACGCCCCTCCAATTCCAAAGGTAAACTATCTGAAGGCTCTTTCCCCTTAGTCCAGACGCATTCATAGTTATTTTCAAATATAGATGTTGGTATAATAGCTAAGCTAATAATGAAAGGTGTCAAACTTTTCCTGACCTGTGGGTTGACCGAAACCCCTATATATCAGACTCTCGCCAAGGGCATTTGATATTTTTCTCTTATTCTCTCTATTTCATTACACAAACCGAACGCATAATTTAATACTACTATACTATGTTTATTCTTTGCGTACATATTTACGGTGTTCAACTTACCTAAAGAGAAAAAATGTCGCTCTGGGATCCTCACGAGTACCCTACATTTTATATTCCGGCTGCGTTACCAGCGTGGTTGGTCCTTGTGGTGTAGTGGTTCATAATACATCGGGCTGGAATACCGAAGACGTGGGTTCGATTCCCGCCAAGAGCATTTGATATTTTTCTCTTATTCTCTCTATTTCATTACACACCGAACGCATAATTTATTACTACTATACCAGACTCTGCTACTGGACTAAGAAAACGCGCAAAACACATATCTTAACTATTCTTTTTTCTCTTTGACAGGAAATGGCGTTCAATGAAATCATCATCCCTACAGTTGACACGGTTCGTTATACTTACCTTATGGAACAGTTAGTTACCCACGAGAAACCATGTCTGTTTATTGGACCTACTGGTACTGGAAAATCAGTCTACATCACGGTAAGAATGATGATAACAACTCTTGAAGAATCGTGCACTTTTCTCTGCTAATTTTCTATTAGTTAAATCCAACTAATGGTCTATCTATCATCCAGTGGCACTCACCCCGGGGGGGGGGGGGGGGGGGTACCCCCCTATATTCGCTATACGGTTACGTGCCGCC